AGGAAGCATTCCAGGTCCTTCAGCAGCTCCTGGCGCAGCGACTTCCAGCGGGACGTCTGCGAAAGACCCAGAATCGCAGCTGGCACGGCTGTGCGCCAGCTTCGCGCCACCCGCCCCACAGGGTCATCGCGCCTGCGCCACCCCACCGCTGGGTGTGCCCTGAGCGCACTTCTTTCCTTTCCTTTTTATTAAATATGTGTTTATTGATCTCAGAGGAAGGGAGAGGGAGACAGAGAGAAACATCGATGAGAGAGAATCGTTGATCACCTGCTTTCTGCACGCTCCCTACTGGGGATTGAGCCCACAACCAGGGCATGTGCCTTAACCTCCCGGGTCATAGGTTGACATGCAACCACTGAGCAACACCAGCTGGGCTATATATAATCAGTTTTATCCCCTATATTTAAGCTTTATGTATTATTAAAGAAATAGAAGCTTGTGTTTTAGTTTCTTTCAGGCCTGTAATAGACATCTCCCTCTTGTAAAAAAAGAGCGGCACTGTTGGGTCCCATGGTAGCGCTGCCCATCCATTCCTGCGGCAGCCACGGGGCTCCGGCCTCAACACCCTCAGCAGCACTGACCTTGCTGGCTCCGTGTCCTGGGGCTGCAGGGGCCCTCGCTGTGTTTGATTTGCATTTCCCTGGTGGTTAACGATACCACGCGTGTTCACAGAATGGAACTACCCACATACCTTTTGCTTCCTTCATTGTCTCAGAGACAATCCTTCGCAGCGTCTGATCAGCTTGGTGAAGCGTGTTGGTTGAACAAATAATTCTGTCTGTTTCCTACGTGATAGAGACACTGTGAGGACGGGTGTAGTTCAGAAAGGCCTGGCTGCCTGGAGGCGGGAGCAGTCTGTTCCTCCTCCTCCCGGAGGGAGGCTGAGTGAGATGCGTCTGGCTGGAAGCCGATCCCCCGGGCAGGGGTGGGGTGAGTGTCCACTGATGGGCTCGTGGGGAAAACAGGAGGCCGGTGCCCAGTGCCTGTCAGTCTGTGTGAACAGCCCCCCACCCCTGCCCCGCAGTGACCCACACAAAGGCTGGATTTCCAAAACTGGAGACTGGGCCCCCCCAGTCCAGGGGCCGGGCCCCTTCCCCTGGGGCTCGTTGTACATTTGGCCCCAAAGACCTTCCTACAAAAGGTGGCCCCCCTCTCACTGGCCCTGAGGGGAGACTTACCTTTTGCTCCGCGTTGTCCTCGACACAGTTCACGGGGTTTTCCAGAGCGGCGAGCAGCAGGCCGGTCAGCTCGGGGCTGGAGGAGAGGGGGTAGCGCACGTCACTGTAACAGACACTTCCACCTGCGGCAGGGGCGGGGGACCCTGTGCCTCCACGCGGTGCGGACCAGCCCCCGCTGCGGAGAAGCGTCAGCGCAGGGCGGCCCGGGAGGCCGGGGAGCAGCTACCTGGCCGCGGCCGAGCACGCGGGGCTCCGCAGGGTGAGGCTGCTGTGCTCCCAGGCGTTTTTCTCGGGGTTGGGCTCCTCCATCTTCGCCCCCATCAGGCGGATGGTCTCGGCGGGCAGCGCCCCTGGCCGCTGGCCATTCCTCTGCACGCAGGTCTCCAGAGGACAGTCTAGAAAGAGCTGGCAAAACCCCAGCGAGTCTGGAAACAGGGGAACCCACAGTCACTGGCGCCCGCGTGCCAAAGCACCCGCTGGTGAAGGACACGCTGCGCGGGGAGCACCCAGCTTTGGGAATTCCGTTCCCTGGGACCCTCCGGCCCAACTGCATCTCACTGAACATGGGGACGGCTGATTTGCAAATCAATGAGTGCGTGTGAGAGAGAGTGTGTGTGTGAGTGCACGGGTGTGTGAGTGTGTGCGCACACGCATGTGTAAGGAAATGCCTCACTTACACTTGCGAGCCAGCCGGTAGACCTCGTATCTCATGCTTCGGTAATAGAAGTTGTCATCTAAAATCAGAAGCAAAGGCCCGGAGGCGGCTGGCGTCGGGAGGCAGTGGGACGGGCCCTCCGCGGCGGGAGGGAGCAGGGCCTGGGCCCGCAGGCAGGTGACCAGCGCCTCCCACAGGGCCTCTGTCCCCCCGGGCGGGGCCGACAGCGGGTCCCCGTGCAGGACGGCCCGCAGGTAATGGGAGAATCATGGATCTCCTGCTTCCTGCTGCCTCCTACTGGGGATCCAGCCCAAAACCCAGGCATGTGCTCTGACCAGGAATTGAACTGGGACCTCCTGGTTCAGAGGTCAACGCTCAACCACTGAGCCACACCGGCCGGGCACGAGTTATTTTCTCATGCCTCCATGTCCTCCTGTAAAACTCCTCCTCGGTGACACGAGCCCCTGGGAATCCTCTCGGACAGCCGTGCAGGAGGCATGGGGACCTGCCTCGGCCATCCCGACCCTGGTCCTGTGCAGACTGGGGCTCCACTGGAGCAGGCTGCATGCTGCTGAGGCATTTGCTTGCACACCCCACCTCCGGCAGAGGGCCTGGCACCAACAGATGCTCCGGAAATGCATCTTCAGTAACAGAGTGAATAAATGACAAAAGCTGCTACCACCCAGGAGAAGGAAGCCAAATCAATGCCCTGCCACAGACTGAGTCTGGCTCCGCTAGTGCTGGTTTACCTTGGAAACAAGGGAAGGTGTGGACAGAGAGGGTCGGTAAGGCCCTGGGTCATGGGGAGAGGGAAGCAGATGGAGATGTTAGTGGAAAAACATTCACAGGTGTGCGGGGTTTCTGTGCGTTTGAGCCAAACTGTGGACAGTGGCCGGGAGGAAGACTCTCAAGGGGCTGGGACAGTGCTCCGGAGAATGGCAGCTTTTCACACGTTACAGTCAAAGGAGGAGACAGAAGGGGTCACAGGAAACCCATTGCTGATAGATGAGGCGGAGAAAGCGAAGGGGGTGCCTCTGGGATTGGGTGAGTGAAATGATGGGCACGTGCTTCTTTACAAGGTGGGTGCAGAACAGTTAACACGACAATAACATGAGGGAACTTGTGGTCTCCGCCCTGAGGGGTCTGGAAAAAGGAAAGTTACAAGTTACTCTGACATATGCAAAAAGATAATCGGCTCAATTAAGGCATAGATTGACCTTATCATTTAAGATACCAGCCTAGGACACGACTACCCACCATAACTGCTTTTAGTTGAAGTTTTAATTTCAGACCATCCTTTGTGGTGACTTTAGGTCTCTGAGTTTGCAAGACCGCCATGCCGGCCTCCCCTGAGCTCGTCAGGTGAGCATCTGGCCCCTTTTCCATCGACAAGGGGAAGAGAATAAATGGCTTGAGAGACGTCATCTTGCGCTGCTCCAGGGCTGTGGGGAGTCTGACACAGCTACGAAGCCAAAGACCAGGACAGGAGGTCAGGGTCCCTCGGCTGCCTGCCTGTCCGTACCGTACCACGTCACCGAGACCGCAGCACCTTCACCAAATCCATCAGTGAAACTCACTAAAACTAAAGAAGTGTGGTACCCTTCCATGCGCCTAGAGGAGCCCATGGCCTCTGTTCACGTGAGACACAAGAATGAGGAAAAGCCCAGGAACGCAGCATCCCTGCCACAACGTCCAGCTTCCTGCAGCGTGAGGTGCCGTCATCCACGTGAATCCGTGCGGCCAGGGACCTGCTACTGTGTCCGCCTCACAATTAGCCAGGAAGGGGGCAGTACGTAACTTCGCCGGCGTGGTCCACACTTTCCCATACACCAAATGAGCTGTATTTTTGCATACATACAAATAGAGTGACATTGTTAGGGGACCAGCTATAATTATAACAAATATGAATCTGATATGATATAACAAATATCTCTGTTAACCGAGATTGTTTTGATTGAAGAAAGCAAATTTGAGCCTGACTGGGAGCTGCAAGAGGGACCTGGAGCTCCCCTGGACATGCAGCCCGTTCTCCACTGCAGCAGCTGCCTGTTCCCACAGAAAGATCAGCAACCTGTGCCCCTGAGGCACCGCCCTCTGCGCACCCCCAGGCCATTGGAACCCCCAGCCGCAGAGCCTGTAGGCTCTTTCTTGTTCCTTTTCCCACTTCCCCACGTAACCTTTGTCCTTCTTCCCAATATAAGCGGCTGGCTTCTGGGGGGGCAGACGGCACATCTCTGTGGTGACCTGCTGTTCTCACATGCTGCCGGCAGGATTGGAGTCAACGCTCACATACAATTTAACCCTGGCTCTGCTTAATTGGCTCAGGCAGACAGGCAGCCACTGATTGTCCGGTTATAGAATCACATCCTAGTTGGATCTTATTTACATGAATTCATCTTCTGGACAAAAAGGGGCCACGTGCTCACCTAACTGAGGGAAAGGCCTTGTAAACTCAGAGACCTAAAGTAACCACGAAGGACGGTCTGAAATGAAAACCTTTTCATGAAAAAGCAGTTTATAGTGGGTAGTCAAGTTCTAGGCCAGTATCTTCCCTGACAAAGATCAACTTCGATCTTTACTGAGCATCAAAGATAACACACCTGTGAAATATCTAGGTAACTTGTAACTCCCTTTTTTCCGGACCCCTCAGGGCAGAGCAAATGGCACAGGGGCAGAGCCCACAAATTCCCTCATTATTGTTATGGTGTCAATTGGACTGTTAACTATCCTGCACCCACCTGTGTAAAAGACTTTTGTCTATCATTTACTTTTTATCCAATCCCAGAGGTTCCAGCCCATCTTGCTTTCTCCCATCTCCCTCATCTATCATGTGACCCACTTAGGTCTCCTTTGATGGTAATTTACAAAAATAGGTGAAAAAAACCACCGTTCTCCGAGCACTATCTAGATACATTGAGATTGTTCTTCCTGGCAATTGTCAACAGTCTGGCTCGAAAAAACACACAAAAATTCTTTACAGGTTTGAATGTTTTTGTTTTTTTTCTACATTAACAATCTACATTCAGGCATAAAGGACAAAAATAACTACCTAAAGTATTCAGAATATTTCAGCCAATGAGTGTTTGCTCTGGAGTGAGCCTGAGATGGGGAGCGTAAATCTACTCTACCCAGAGGCCTCAGCTTCACATGCTTCTCCCAGGGTGCACCTCACTGCAGAGAGCAGATGTGAGGGCTTAGAGAGAAATATGTACTTGGGACATACCAGTCGGTCCCTAAATACAAGCCATCAATCCGTTTGGCCCCACCCTCCCCTTTGCCTGCAGAGGCAGGTTTACCCAGAATGAATGAAGATGGAGCCTCTTTATCGTCCTGGGAGGGACCCTAGCAATTTTGTTACTTACCTTGTATTCTTTTTTCTTTTTAAAAAATATTTTTATTGATTTCAGAGAAGGGAGAGAGAGAGAGAGAAACATCAATGATGAGAGAGAATCATTGATCGGCTGCCTCCTGCACACCCCACACTTGGGATTGAGCCCGAAACCCGGGCCTGTGCCCTGACCGGGAATGGAACCTCCTGGTTCATAGGTCAATGTTCAGACATGGAGCTACATCAGCCGGGCTTGTATTCCTTTTTCTTAAAAAGGGTTCCCCAAAATGTATACACTTTAAGCCCCACAAACCTGCACTCTGGATGTTAAACTGGCTGTGGTGGAATTTTTGAGAGAACACCGTTCCCAAAGGATTTTCAAGAGTCTCTTTGGCCTGGAGATGTCCACCTGCTCTGACTTCAGAACCTGACCGGGCAGGAGCCCCCCCCTGTAGAGGATACACACACCTACCTGCCCCACACGTACACATAAGCCTCTACAGCAGCGGTTCTCAACCTGTGGGTCGTGACCCCTTTGGGGGTAATGATTAATCACTATGCTTTCATTATGTTCAATTTGTCACAATGAAAGTACATCCTGCATATCAGATATTTACATGACGATTCCTAACAGTAGCGAAATTACAGTGAGGAAGTAGCAACGAAAATAATGTTATGCTTGGGGGTCACCACAGCATGAGGCACTGTATTAAAGGGTCGCGGCGAGAGGAAGGTTGAGAACCGCTGCTCTAGAGTGAGTTGCTCTAACGTGGACAATACACAGCTGCCCCTCACGGACACATAAGCCTCTGTATATAATCATTCTTAAAACGCAGTACACTCCTTCCACT